GAGCTCAAACTAGAAAACTCTTGTAAGAAAACGTAGGAGTAAATCTTCAGAACCTTGAATCAGGCAATGATTTCTTAGATATGAAATCAAAAGCACAAGTGACAGAAGACAAAAATAGATAAATTGGCCTTTGTAAAAATTAAAAATGTTTGGGCCCAGAGTGGTGACTCATGCCTGTAATCCCAGCACTTTGGGAGGCTGAGGTGGGCAGATTGCCTGAGGTCAGGAGTTTGAGACCAGCTTGGCCAACATGGTGAAACCCCACCTCCACTAAAAATACAAAAATTAGCTGGGCATGGTGATGGGCACCTGTAATTCCAGCTGCTGGGGAGGCTGAAGCAAGAGAACTTCTTGATCCTGGGAGGTGGAGGTTGTAGTGAACCAAGATTGTGCCACTGCACTCCAGCCTGGGAGATAGAGCAAAGACTCCGTTTCAAAAAATAAATAAATAAATAAAAACATTTGTGCTGCAAAGGACATCACCAAGAAAGTGAAAAGACAACCCACAGAACAAGCGAAAATGTTTTCAAATTATGTATCTTATAGGGAACTTGTATCCAGAATACATAAAGAATTCTTACAACGTGACAACAACAAAAATCAAATAACTCAATTTAAAAATGGGCAAAGAAGTTGGAATAGACATTTCTTCAAAAATGATATAAAAATGGCCAATCTGTGCATGATAAAGACACTCAACATCATGTCACTAGGGAAATGCAAAGCAAAGCCACAATGAGATTCCATGTCTTTTTTTCTTTTTTTTAATTTTTTTTTTTTTAAAGATGGGGTTTCACCATGTTGGTCAGGCTGGTCTTGAACTCCCGATCTCAGGTGATCCGCCTGCCTTGACCTCCAAAGTGCTTGGATTACAGGCATGAGCCACCACGCCCGACCTCCATGTCTTACTCATTAGGATGGCTGTAACAAAAAAGATGGACAAAAAGTGTTAGTGAGGAAGTGGAGAAATCAGATCCTCATGTGTCACTGGTGAGGATATTAAATGGTGGAGCCCCTTCAGAAAACAATTTGACATTTCTTCAGAAAGTTAAACATAGAGTTATCATATCATGCAGCAATTTCTCTCCTAAGGTATAGGCCCAAGAGAATTAGAGCCTATGTCTGCACAAAAACTTGTATGTAATGTTCACAGCACTGTTATTATCATTATTATTTATTATTATTTTTTAGACTGAGTCTTGCTTTGTCACCAGGCTGGAGTGCAGTGGCACAGTCGTGGCTTACTGCAACCTCTGACTCCTAGGTTCAAGCAATATCGTGCCTCAGCCTCCCAAGGAGCTGGGATTACAGGCGTGGGCCACCATGTCCAGCTAAGTTTTCTTTTTTTTTTCTTTTTTGAGATGGAGTCTCACTCTGTTCCCCAGGCTGGAGTGCAGTGGCATGATCTCAGCTCACTGCAGCCTCCACCTCCTGGGTTCAAGCAATTCTGCCTCAGCCTCCCGAGTAGCTGGGACTACAGGTGCACACTAGCACACCCAGCTAATTTTTGTATTTTTAGTAGAGACAAGGTTTCACTATGTTGGCCAGGATGGTCTCGATCTCTTGACCTTGTGATCTGCCTGCCTCACCCTCCCAAAGTGCTGAGATTATAGGCATGAGCCACCATGACTGGCCGTCCAGCTAATTTTTGTATGTTTAGTAGAAAGTTTCACCATGTTGGTCAGGCTGGTCTCAAACTCCTGACCTCAAGTGATCCACCCACCTCAGCCTCCCAAAGTGCTGGGATTACAGGCATGAGCCACTTCGCCTCATCTCACAACGCCATTATTTATAATAGCCCAACAGTGGAAACAACCCAGTTGTTCTTCAACTGATGAATGGATAAACAAAATGTGGTATGTCTATATAATGGAATATTATTCGGCCATAAAAAGGAATGAAATACGGATACATGCTACAATATAGATGATACTTGAACAATTATGCTAACCATAAGAAGCCAGTCACAAAAGATCACATAGTGTGATTCTATTTACATGAAATGTCCAGAATAGGCAATCCATAGAGACAAAAGATAGAGTAGTGATTGCCAGGGGCTCTGGAGAGAGGGCAGTGGGAAGTGACTGCTAATGGGCATGGAGTTTCTTTTGGGGATGACAAATTTGATAGATGGCTGCAAAAGTCTGTGGATATACTAAAACCACTGAATTGGGCCCTTTTCAAAAGTGAACTTTGTAAAAAAATTCTATCTCAATAGAGCTGCTATGCTTTTTTTAAAAAAAAAGGCAAGCCAGAGATGGCTCACACCTGTAATCCCAGCACTTTGGGAGACCAAGGCAGGTGGATCACCCGAGGTCAGGAGTTTGCGACTAGCCTGGCCAAAATGGTGAAAACCTGTCTCTACTAAACATACAAAAGTTAGCCAGGCGTGGTGGTATGTGCCTGTAACCCCAGCCACCTGGGAGGCTGAGGCAAAAGGATCCCTTGAACCTGGGAAGCGGAGGCTGTAGTGAACTGAGATCACACTGCACTCCAGCCTGGGCGACAGAGGGATACTGTCTCAAAAAGGAAAGAAAGGAAAGAAAAGAGAGAGAAAGGAAGACAAAGAAAGAGACAGAAAGAAGAAAGGAAGCAAGGAAGGAAGGAAGGAAAGAAAGGAGGGGGGAGGAGGGAGGGGGAGGGAGGGAAGGAAGGAAAGAGAAGGGAGGAAGAAAGAAGAAAAGAAGGAAAGAAAAAGAAAGAAAGAAAGAGAGGAGGGAAGGAAGGAAGGGAAAGAAAGAAGAAAGAAACAGAAAGAAAGAAAGAAGCAGAAAGGAAGGAAGGAAACAAAGTTTAAAAGGCAAGCCATAAGACAACAAATGACTTATTAATATATCCAGAATGTATCTAAAATGCCTACAAATAATAATAAAAATGGCAGATAACCAAATACAAATATATGAACTGAGCTGAGCACAGTGGCTCATGCCTGTAATCACAACTACTTGGAAAGCTGAGGCAGGAGGATTGCTTCAGGTCAGGAGTTTAAGGTCATCCTGAGCAACATAAGGAGACTTCATATTAAAAAAAAGTAAAACAAAAAAATAGGCTGAAAAGTAACTTCTTAAAAGATGAAATTAAATTGGCCAATAACTTATGAAAAGTGATCAATTCCGTTAGTCATCAGGGAATACAAATCAAAGCCACAGTGAGAGACCATGGCACACATATCAGGATGACTAAAATTAAAGATTCTGGAGATACCCTAGTGTTACTGAAGGATGGGGAGCAACTGGAATTCTCCTACATTGCTAGTGAAAATGTAAATTGGTACAACTCTCTGGAGAACTGTTTGGCTCTGTTGACTACGGCTGAATACACACATATCCTATGACCTAGTGATTACTCTTCTGGAAATATTCCCAACAGAAACACATATGCAATCACCAAAATATTCATAGTAGTAACACTGGACAATCACCAAAATGTTCATAGTAGCGCTATTCATTACAGACCCAAAGTAGAAACAACTTTTATGTACATCAGAGAGCAGAATGGATACATAAAATGTAGTTATACTCACAAAATGAAATACTACTGCAAGGAGAATTAATTATCTTCAACTGCATGTGACGACAAGAATAAATATTATGAATACAATGTTGTAAGAAAGAAACCAGAGACAGAAGAATTGATATTGTATTATTCAGCCTGTAGGAAAAGTTCTAGGATGGTAGAAGCCAAGGGAGTGGTTACCTTTGTCAGAGGTGAACAGAGCAGGAGGAAAAGGAAGGTATCTGGGAGGCTGATCATACTTTATTTCTTCATCTTCATGCTGGTTACATGGGTGTTGTCAATTTTTTCAAAGCTGTGCTTGTGTGTGTGTGTGTGTGTGTATTGCATTTCAACTAAAAAATAAAAACCTTTATTTAGAACCATTCTACCCATTCTCCCAGATTCTTTTTAAATACTCCCCCACCACTTATTTATTTATTTTTTTAATTTTTTTGTTATTTTTTGAGATGGAATGTTGATCTGTCACCTAGGTTGGAGTGCAGAGGCATAATCTTGGCTCACTGCAACCTCCACCTCCTGGGTTCAAGCCATTCTCCCGCCTCAGCCTCCCAAGTAGCTGGGACTACAGGCATGTGCCACCATGCCCGGCTAATTTTTGTATTTTTAGTAGAGACGCGGTCTCACCACATTGGCCAGGCTGGTCTTGAACTCCTGACCTCAAGTGATCTGCCCACCTCGGCCTCCCAAAGTGTTGGGATTACAGGCGTGAGCCACTGTGCCCAGCCAATACCCCTTTATTAACATTCACCAAATCACAAAGTCTCTGGAATACCTGCAGTTGGAGACAACTCTACTTTCTCCAAGATTCCACAGCACTTGGTAGAATCCTTGGATGACTCAGCCTCATGTAGAAGCATCTATATGGAAAGAGCAAGAGCTTTGGAGCCCTGGGTTCTAGTGAGCCCCTTCCCAGGTGGGTGACCATGAGCAAATTCCCCACAGCTGATCAGTTGTTCAGTTCTTAGCTACACACAGCATGAAGTGATTTTTTTTATATATAAGGGGCTCAGGTAGTTGCTGGAATCTCCAGAAGACCCGAGAGAGGCTCAGAGGTATGCTGCAGGTGTGTCTAAATCACACTAAAGAATTCATCTGGTGCAGGCACCATTGCTGTTGCTGTGGGCATCACTCAACATAGCCAACTTTATGGACACTCAGTATTTCTGCTAGAATTCTTGATATAGCTGCCCCTTGAAATGGAGGGTACCATATACACACCACCAGGGCAGATTCTGCTAGGCTAATTTAGTGTTTTTAGTAGATTTTGTATTTTTAGTGGAGACGGGGTTTCTTCATGTTGGTCAGGCTGATCATAAACTCCTGACCTCAGGTGATCTGCCTGTCTCGGCTTCCCAAAGTGCTGGGATTACAGGCATGAGCAACTGCACCCAGCCATCTTGGAACTCTATTTACTTTGTCAGGGAAAGGAAATTTTAGAAAAGGTATTTGTTAGCTCTAAACTTGACTGAAATCAACTCAACACGTTTGATTTAAACCTTTTTATTGTCAGATAGTTTTCTTTAAGCATTTAATAGCTTTGATTGGTTCAGTGGCCAAATAAGGCAGCATCTACTAAGAAAGGCACCTCATCAGAAACAAAATACACACATAATCACGTGGTAAGATCCCCGCCATGAGACCAGCTGCTACCTCCTTGAGAGCAGCGGTTGTGTCTTAATGTACTTAGTAGCACCTAAACTTGCACATAGGAACCTTCTTACAGGATGTTTATTGAGTTATTTTCATTAGTCAAGAATGAGACACAAATCCTTTTATTAGCCTCCCCCTCATGACTCTATCCCCTCCTCTTTTTCCATCTCCAAGCCTTCATTTAGCAAAAGAACATATACTAGAGGGTAATCCCTAGAACTCTGCACTGTGGTCAGAAGAATCCAGTTTTAGGGCTGAAATATGCTTTGAGACAGGGTCTGGCTCTCTCACCCAGGTTGAAGTGCAGTGGCGCAATCTCGGCTCACTGCAACCTCTGCCTCCCAGGCTCAAGCCATCCTCCTACCTCAGCCTCCCAAGTAACCGGGACTACAGTCGTCCACTACCACACTTGGCTAATTTTTGTATTTTTTGTAGAGACGAGGTTTCACCATGTTGCCCAGGCTGGTCTGGAACTCCTGGGCTCAAGCGACTGCCTGCCTCTGACTCCCAAAGGGCTGGGATTACAGGCGTGCATCACCACACCTGCCCCAAAACAACTTTTTAAAGCAGAATATGTTTAGGGGAGCATATGTATTTATGGCTTGAGACCTGAAACAAATGGCTTCGCTCTGGTTAGATGCCATTCTATCCCTTGCTCCTTGAGTCTAAGTAGTAGGATGAATGAAGCAGGAATCCTTAGTGCTTGGATGGGTTGAGAAGGGGCATCTTTGGCCGTGATCATGGAAGCCCAAAGGAGGCTACCAAAGTGCTTTCCCTCACTTCTGCCTGGAAGCCAGAACCCTGATTTCCACCCAGACACATGGACAACCCTGTGCTCTTGTTCAGCCCATAAACTAATCCGTGCTGCTTTGAGCCTGGCCTGCAGAAGAGTGTGATATAACAAAAAAGACGGGCTTTGGGAGTCCAGAGACCTGGGTTTGAGTCCCATCTTTGTGACTCACTAGCTGTGTGACTTTGGGAAAGTACTTTTTTCTCTCTCTCTTTGAGTCAGAAATTTTCATCTGTGTTGGAAAAAATAAGTCCTCCCCAGGTTATTGGGAAAATTTAATCCTATGAGATAATTTATGTGAAATTATCTGGCACGTGGTGGATATTTAAACACCGTAAGAAGAAATAATGGCCAGGGAGGAAGAATTTGCTAGTATTTCTCCAGAGCTATTCCACGGAGTATTTTTATAGTGGGATGTCATGAGCTGTGTGACCCTGGGTTAGACTTCTTACCTCCCTGACTCTTACTTCCCCCACAAGGGATTTCTCTTTTTTTGAGACACAGTTTCACTCTGTTGCCCAGGCTGGAGTGCAGTGGCATGATCTTGGCTCACTGCAATGTCTGCCTCCTGGGTTCATGCCTCCCTATGTCTCAGCCTCCCTAGTAGTGGGATTACAGGAGTGCACCATCATGCCCAGAATTTTTTTTTTTTTTTTTTGTATTATTAGTAAAGACAGGGTTTCGCCATTTTGGCCAGGGTGGTCTCAAACTCTTGACCTCAAGTGATCTGCCTGCCTCAGCCTCCCAAAGTGCTAGGATTACAGGCATGAGCCACGGCACCCAGCCTCAAAAGGGATTTCTGATCCCAAGAAGGAGAGACTCCTAAGATTTGAGATTAAATGTCAAAGTGTGTCACTTTCTATAACAGAATAGAGATTTATTACCTTGTGTCCAAGATGCCATCAATTATAGGATAAGCAATTGATTAAAAACAACTTTTTGAGAGGCAGTAAAAAACTACAATTACATTAATTAACCCATTAATTGCAAGATATGTTCTGAGTTCAGAATCATTAAAATGTGAAGAAATGTCTATCTTGCAATTGAAAAAAAAAACCTGTAATAATAATAATGTTAGTTCTTAGGCTGGGCACCGTGGTCCATGCGTGTAATCCAAGCACTTTGGGAGGCCAAGGCAGAAGAATCACTTAAGGCCAGGAGTTCAAGACCAGCCTGGGCAACACAGTGAGACCCCATCTCCACAAAAATAAAAAATAAAAAATAAAAAGTTAGCCTGGTGAGGTGACACATACCTGTAGTCCCAGCTACTCCGGAGGCTGAGGAGGGAGAATCCCTTGAACCCAGGAGGAGTTCAAGGCTGCAGTGAGCTGTGAGCATGCCACTGCCCTCCAGCCGAGGTGACGGAGTAAGATTCTGTCTCAAAAAAACAAAAAACAAAAAAAAGGAATCCTGGTTCCCATTTATTAAGCATCTCCCGGGTGCCAGGCACTAGAATCAAGGTGTTTTGCTAAGCCCTTCCCTTGTTACAGTGCCCCAGTGCGGCAGGTGTTATCATTTCCACTTCACGCTTAGGAAACTGAATATAAAGAGGTTGAGTCATTTTTCCAAGCCCACACCACTAGGAAGGAGGGCTTGGATGGCAGGACTTCTTAATTCCAGATACTTTCTCTTTTTGGTAGATTGTTCTCCAGGCTAGGGAGTCAGAGACAAGGTCTCTGTAGAATAGAAACGGGTTGTGAACGTGGTACTTTGAACATGTTTTGAATCTCTGAAGGTGACCAGGAAGGTCATAGATGACATTGATAGAGCTGGAGTCTAATTAATCTCCAAATACTGGTCCTTGGAGGTAAGGTGTTAACAGGACAGTCAAGGTTGCTGAGAATCAGATAAAGGGGAGCCAAGAACTGAGACAGAGTCAGGGTTGCCTCAGCCCAGTGTGGAAGAAGGAGCCTGCTGAGCCTCCAGGATCATTCCAGGCCCACGGACAACGCAACAAGCTCTTACGTTAGAGGCCACTATTCTGCAGCGTCACCCTGTTCCTTCACTGACTCTTTACTAATGCAGCAGAAATCTTTTGAGAAGAATCTAGTTCTTCTCGCAGCCTTTCTTCAAGAGGGAAAAATGTGCTAAGCAGTCATCATCAGTCAGCAGGCAGACATCTAGAACAACTAGAACAAGTTACACATTCACAAGGTTTTCTGGTTAGTCAGCCCAAGTTAGTTCCCCTGTGCCTGGTTATGGGATCGGATGTTTTGCTCTGGGAAGCTGTGGATATGGCACTTACTCTGATACGAACCCCGTGACAGATCATATTGCGATACTCTCAGCAGTGTTCCCTGACACCCGGCTCCTGGGCTATCTGTCTAACTATAGCATGGGGGAGAGCCAAGCCCACCTGAGTGGATTCCCAACATAGCTCTACTTCATCAGATGACAAAACAATGTTCTGGAGCTTTTTGGTGGGGCGGCAGAGGGGATGTGGACATAGTTGGGGTAGGGCAGGGGAGACAAGGTTGAAAATTGCTGGAAGCATCAGAAATTGCGTAAAAGATGTTTCTGTTGACCTGACCAGGAGAAACTCATCGTCAAGCTGCCAGAGAGTGTGCCTCTGGGTCTTGACTCTGGAGAGGCTCTTTGGACAGTGGTGGAGATAGCACCAGGGTAGAGGTCACCGAGTCTCCATGTGGACGTCAACAGGGCTGAAGGTCACAGTCGCAGGCTGTTGGCTGACGTTGTTGTTTGGGCCCATGGCAGAAGGGGCGGTTGGCTTGGGGCCCTTGGGCTCCAGTTCCCGCCTCGTCCTCATTTTCCTGTAGGGAGATAACGTGCACATGGTTGAGTCTTTCCCCTGATAAACTGTGGGGAATGGGCTCTGTGACTGCAGTTCTGGCCAAGAGATTAATGTAGATTAACGTAGACATTAAATCACATTGCTTACTTGCTGCCACATAATTTTACAACTGGAAGGGACCTCACGAATCAGCTAGTCTGCCCTTCAATTTTTACTTTTTATTTTGAGACGAAGTCTCACTCTGTCACCCAGGCTGGAGTGTTGTGGCACGATCTCAGCTCACTGCAACCTCCGACTCCCAGGTTCAAGCAATTCTCCTGCCTCAGCCTCCTGAGTAGCTGGGACTACAGGCATGTGCCACCATGCCCAGCTAATTTTTGTATTTTTAGTAGAGATGGGGTTTCACCATGTTGGCCAGGATGATTTCAATCTCCTGACCTCGTGATCCGCCCACCTCGGCCTCCCAAAGTACTGGGATTACAGGCTGAGCCACTGCTCTTCAATTGTTTAACTTAGACCAGATATTTAATTTGTTTGTTTCTTTTTTTTTTCTTTTAGAGATGGAGTTTTTCCATGTTGGTCAGGCTGGTCTCGAACTCCCAATCTCAGGTGATCTGCCCGCCTTGTTTCCCAGTGTTGGGAATACAGGCATGAGCCAACGTACCTGGCCAATTTTATTTGTTTCTATTAAGGAATGAGTAAAATGTCAGAGGTGGCTATATAAAAGATAAAAATAAAGATATTACATTTTTTCCTGTCCAAAGTGGCATTACATTTTCCATGTATTACATGTATTACATTTTGCAGCCTCACTCATTAAGCTTGCTAAGTTTATTGTTAGAAGTATTTAAGAACTTTTTACATAGTTGAAAAGAGAATGTACTTAAAACATATATTTTGGCTTCATTTAATATGCTGTGAAATTCGATAATGAACAATTTTGAATTCTTTATTATTTTTCTTTTTTTGAGGCAGAGTCTCGCTCTGTCACCCAGGCTGGAGTGCAGTGGTATGATCTCACCTCACTGCAACTTCTGCCTCCCGGGTTCAAGCAATTCTTATGCCTCAGCCTCCTGAGTAGCTGGGATCACAGGTGCCCGCCACCACGCCTGGCTAATTTTTGTATTTTTCAGTAGAGACGGGGTTTCGCTATGTTGGTCACGCTGGTCTCGAACTCCTGACCTCAGGTGACCACCTCGAACTCTTGACCACTTCGGCCTCTCAAAGTGCTGGGATTACAGGCATGAGCCACCATGCCTAGCCAAATTTTTGTATTTTTAGTGTAGATGGAGTTTCACCATGTTGGCCAGGCCGGTCTTTAATGCCTGGCCTCAAGTGATCCTCCTGCCTTGGCCTCCCAAAGTGTCAGGATTGCAGATGTGTGCCACTATGCCTGGCCAACAATTATGAATTCTCGTGTCTTCACGATCTTTCATCTTGCTGACATGTCATATATATATATATATATATATATATATGAAATTTATTTATTTATTGAGACAAGGTCTCACTCTGGTTGCCCAGGCTGAAGTACAGTGATACAGTCTCAGCTCACTACAGCCTCAACATCCTAGGATCAGGTGATTCTCCCACCTCAGCCTCCCAAGTAGCTGGGACTACGGGTGTACACCACCATGCCTGGCTAATTTTTTGTATTTTTAGTAGAGATGGGGTTTCACTATGTTGCCCAGGCTGGTCTCGAACTCCTGGATTCAAGCAATCCACCCACCTTGGCCTCCTGGGGTGATGGGATTACAGGTGTGAGCCATGGCACCTGGCCTTATAATTCTTTGTTAAAAATGTCAAATCTGCCGGGCGCGGTGGCTCAAGCCTGTAATCCCAGCACTTTGGGAGGCCGAGTGGGTGGATCACGAGGTCGAGAGATCGAGACCATCCTGGTCAACATGGTGAAACCCCGTCTCTACTAAAAATACAAAACATTAGCTGGGCATGGTGGCGCGTGCCTGTAATCCCAGCTACTCAGGAGGCTGAGGCAGGAGAATTGCCTGAGCCCGGGAGGCGGAGGTTGCGGTGAGCCGAGATCGCGCCATTGCACTCCAGCCTGGGTAACAAGAGCGAAACTCCGTCTCAAAAACAAAACAAAACAAAACAAAACAAAACAAAACAAAAAGTCAAATCTTCAGGAATGTTGCACTTATAGTACAATTAATACTCTAATACCTTTGCTGTGATTTGAATGCAGCCCTCAAAAGCCTGCATTGAGAACTTAATCCCTAATTGAACAGTATTTAAAGGTAGGGCCTGAGGGGAGGTTCATGAATCCGTTAATGCCAATTACCCGAAGGGCCAATTATAAAAGGGCTTCACAGGCTGTGAATTTGATCTTTTGCTCTCTCTGGCTCTCTCTTTGCCCTTCTATGGTGGGATGACAGAGCAAGAAGGCCCTTGCCAGATACTAGTCCCTCAATATTTTAGATTTCCCTGCCTCCAGAACTGCAAGAAATAAATCTCTTTTCTGTATAAATTACCCAGTCTCAGATATTCTGTTATAGCAGCACAAAATGGCCCAATTTGCCCCACCTGCTTTCTTGTTTTTCTTTCTCTTACTTTTTCTTTCTCTATTTTCAAACACACACAGTTTGTTTTGTTTTTGTTTTTTCTTTGAGTTGGAACCCCCAGGCTGGAGTGCAGTGGCGTGATCTCAGCTCACTGCAACCTCTGCCTCCCAGGTTCAAGCAATGCTCCTGCTTCAGCCTCCTTAGTGGCTGGGATTACAGGCGCCGGCCACCACTCCTGGCTGATTTTTGTACTTTTAATAGAAATGGGGTTTCACTGTGTTGGCCGGGCTGGTGTTGAACTCTGGACCTTGTGATCTGTTCACCTTGGTCTCCCAAAGTGCTAGGATTATAAGCGTGAGCCACAGCACCCGGCCGACACACACAGTTTTAAAAAATCATGAACCACTGAGCTGGGCGTGGTGGCTCACACCTGTAATCCCAGCACTTTGGGAGGCTGAGGTGGGCAGATCACCTGAGGTCAGGAGTTCGAGATCAATCAGTCTGACCAATATGGTGAAACCCCGTCTTAAAAAAAAACAAAAAAGTCATAAACCATTTGTCAGTTGCAGGCATCATGCCACTTTACTCCTAAATACTCCTAATGACAGAGACATTCTCCAATATATCCATAATGCAGTTATGAAGCTTCGAGACTCTTCATTTTAAACACGACAACATACAGGCAGGTGGGGGTTAAATAACTTCCTTGATTTTGACAAACCAAAGACTACTGGACCCAGGTCTCTCAATGCCCACTAGGCATCACTACAGACAGGGTGGGTTGAGTGGATTCTCCATTCAGATTACAACCTAAAAAAGAGGTTTGGAGTGCCAGCAACAGTGGAGATAAATAAAGGTTAGACATTGGAGTTTGATACCACTTCTTACTTTGGGATAGACCAAAACTGTAATACCCTGAAGATTTTTTTAAAATAAAATTTTAATATTATTATTATGTGTAATTGTGGGAGTATTTTCTTTGAAACCAAATGACCTAGGTTTGAATCCCAACTGTGCTAATTAGGGCTGAGCAACTTTGGGCATATGACTTAATCTTTCTGTATCTGTTTCTATACCTATAAAATTGAGGATAATAGTAGTACCCACCTTGTGAGGTTGTTGTGAGGATTAAATGAGTTAACACATGTAAGGAGCTTAGAACCATGCCTGGCATTTGGTATGAGATCAACATATGTTAGCTACCTTTACTTGATTGATTGATTTATTGATTGAGACAGAGTCTCACCTTCTCCCCCAGGCTAGAGTGCAGTGGTGTGATCCCAGCTCACTGCAACCTCTGCCTCCCAGGTTCAAGCAATTCTCCTGCCTCAGCCTCCCAAGTAGCTGGGATTACAGGCACCCGTCACCACACCCAGCTAATTTTTTGTATTTTTAGTAGAGACAGGTGTTAGCCAGGCTGGTCACAAAATCCTGACCTCATAATCCACCCGCCCCAGCCTCCCAAAGTGCTGGGATTATAGGCGTGAGGCACCGTGCCTGGCCTAGCTACCTTCATTTTGAAAACTGTTTTTTTCAGAGACAGGGTCTTGCTTATTGTCCAGGCTGGTCGCAAACTCTGGGCCTCGAGTGATCCTCCACCTCAGACTCCTGACTAGCTGGGGTGACAGGCAGAGCCACCACACCTGGCAGCTACCTTTATAAATCATAATCATATTTTTATGAAAACAATGCATATGTACTGTTCCTCAAAAATCAGGAACATCCCGCTCCCAGCAAAAACTAACAACACCATCATGCAGGCATACCAGTGGTGAAGACCTTGCTGTGTTACTCTTTCTTGGGGATGTGTATGGGCAACCTATGTGTATGATCATGATTACAATGTATATATTGTTTTGCAAACTTTGACAATATATTGCAAACAGCTTTCCTTATTAACCAGTGCACTTAATGTATATCTTTACATATATATATATACACACACATACATTTTTATAGACAGGGTCTTGCTATGTTGCCCAGGCTGGACTCAAACTCCTAGACTCAAGCCATCCTCCTGCCTCAGTCTCCTGAGTAGCTGGGATTACAGATGCACACTACTGCACCTGGCCATATCTTTTTAAAGAAATGGCTTCTAGGTCTTCTATGATATGTTTAATTTATAATCTTTTAATTTTGATTTCTTCCCTGAAAAAAATTACCTTCCATCAAGGTTGTGACTGACAGTAATTACACATAAGGTGATAACATATAACATTTATTTTTTATATGATCAAATTATATTCTTTTATTTTCCCTTATATGCTTCCAGAAAGCAGAGTCAGGGTACAGGTATTTATCACTTCAAATACTTATGTGGCCAGCTCATGCAACCGAGCAGAGGGGTCTCTGAGAGAAGAGGCGTAAACATTCCTCTATGAGCTGTAAATTACATACAAATGTTTACCACGGTGCTCAAGACAATTAGCACTGTCATTAACATTATTATATTTATTTATTTATTTATTTTTTATTGCATTTTAGGTTTTGGGGTACATGTGAAGAACATGCAAGATTGTTGCATAGGTACACACATGGCAGTGTGATTTGCTGCCTTCCTCCCCATCGCCTATATCTGGCATTTCTCCCCATGCTCTCTCTCCCCAACTCCCCACCCCCGGCTGTCTCTCTCCTATTTCCCCCCGACAGACCCCAGTGTGTGATGCTCCCCTCCCTGTGTCCGTGTGTTCTCATTGTTCGACACCCGCCTATGAGTGAGAACATGCGGTGTTTGATTTTCCGTTCTTGTAACGGAATTATTTATTATATTTAAAAAATATTTCTCCAAGTACAAAAATAGTCACTTTGAAATTCCTTCAACAGAACAGACTTCAAAAAGGACCCTCAAGGGACAGACCATTTACTAAAGGCTCAGGGATACTGCCTGCCAGGCACACGCTGGCCACCCACATATCAGCTCCCGTTTATTCTGATGTCACTGAAGGGTCTGGGCAGTTCCAAAGCCCAGGACGTGCGTACCTGTTGTACATCTTCAGCAGGATCAGAACCACAGTGAAGATGATGATGACAACCACCACAATGCCAGCAACAATGGCTCCAGAACCTACGGAGAGGAGAGGAGCAGAGAGCGTGAATGTGCCAACCGAAGGAAAACCGGGAGGGCACCCTGCTGTGGTCCCTGACATCCTCACTGGGGCAAGGGAAGCAGGAGAGAGGGTAACGTCCTGGGACACTCCCAGTTGACTGCAGGACAGTCACATCTGGAGTGGCTGTGCACCCCTGCCCTGAGCTGGGCTTGAAGGACCCCGTCCTCAGCACATCATCTTCCAAAACACAGCTTCCAGCTTCTGGGAAATAAATAAGCAAAGTACCCTCCCTTCTTTTTGGTGATGCATAGCATGTGATTTCTGTAGATAATAATTTTGAAAATATAAATAGGTGCAAAAAGGAGGGGGAAGTTGAAGAACTCGTTGGCCCAACAACTGCTGATTATCTACCTACATTCACCAACATGATCGTGTTGATGCATGGTAAATATCTATCGGCCAGGCCCAATGGCTCATGCCTGCAATCCCAGTACTTCGAGAGGATGAGGTGGGAGGCTCGCTTGAGCCTGGGAATTCGAGACCAGCCTGGGCAACATAGCAAGATCCTGTTTCTAGAAATAAAAAATTAGCCAGGTGTGGTGGCATGCACCTGTAGTCCCAGCCACTTGGGAGGCTGAGGAGGAAGGATCTTTTGAGCCTGGGAGGTTGAGGCTGCAGTGAGCCAAGATTGTGCCACTGCACTGCAGCCTGGGTGACAGAGCAAGACCCTGTCTCAAAAACTAAAAATAAATACATAAATTAATATCTGGCTAGGTGCAGTGGCTCACATCTGTAATCCCAGTACTTTGTGAGGCTGGGAGTGAGGATCACTTGAGCCCAGGAATTCCAGACCAGCCTGGGCAAGATAACAAGACTCCATTTCTATGCATTTAAAAAAAACATCTATCATAGTTTTAAAATAATTTAATAATTATATATTTGAATATTGATCCTAAAGGAAATATTTCTAAGTATGGAAAAACATTCACTTGGTAAAAATAGTACCATGTTTCATATACTGTTTTTTTTTTTTTTTTTTTTTTTTTTTGAGACGGAGTCTCACCCTGTCACTCTGCTGGAGTGCAGTGGTACAATTTTGGCTCACTGTAACCTCTGCCTCCTGGGTTCAAGTAATTCTTCTGCCTCAGCCTCCAGAGTAGCTGGGACTACAGGCCCGTGCCACCATGCCTGATTAATTTTTGTATTTTTAGTAGAGATGGGGTTTCACTACATTGGCCAGGCTGGTCTCGATCTCTTGACCTCATGATCCACCCACCTCGGCCTCCCAAAGTGCTGGGATTACAGGTGTCAGCCACCGTGCCCAGCCTCATATACTATTTTATAATAATACCATAATCATCCTTCTGTTGAATTATATATTTTTCTTCATGACTTTCCATGGCTGCATAGTATTCCATTGTTTGGATGTGCCAGAATTTGTTCACCAATTCTCTGTTGAGAATACTTATGTTGTTTACAGTTTTTCACCATTAAAAACAAGGCTGTGATGATGTCCTTATTGCTTAATGTCTTAGACTCTAATTTAAATATTAGTTCCCAGTTCCAATGTCATACTCCAATTTTAGTTTAGGTTTTTGATTTCTGTTTTTTGAGAGGGAGTTTTGCTCTTATTGCCCAGGCTGGAGTGCAGTGGTGTGATCTCGGCTCACTGCATCTTCCACCTCCGGGGTTCAATTGATTCTCCTGCCTCAGCCTCCCAAGTAGCTGGGATTACAGGTGTCTGCCACTATGCCTGACTAATTTTAGTTTTTTTAAATAGAGACAGGGTTTCACCATGTTGGCCAGGCTGGAGGCCACCACGCCTGGCCTCCAATCTTAGTTTCAAGATCAATATCCTTGTCAGAATTGATATTGAAAATATCAAGAACCTCTGGGTGTGGCGGCTCATGCCTGTAATCCCAGCACTCTGGGAGGCCAAGGCAGGCAGATCATCTGAGGTTTGAGACCAGCCTGCCTAACATGGTGAAATCCCATCTCTACTAAAGAAACAAAATTTAGCTGGGCATGGTGGCAGGCTCCTGTAATTCCAGCTACTCAGGCGGTTGAGGCAAGAGAATCACTTGAACCCAGGAGGCAGAGGTGGCAGCGAGCCAAGATTGTACCATTGCACTCCAGCCTGGGTGACAAGAGCAAAACTTCGTCTCAGACAAAAAAGAAAAAAATCAAGACCCATAAGCATGTTTATACTTTAAAGCAATCTATTTGCTTCTGGAGAATTTATCTTAAGAGAATAATTCTAAATACAGAAAAAGTTGAGTGAATCAAGATGTTTATTATGACAATATTCATATTCTAAATATGAGAATGGTTAAATAAGGCATGGTAACCTATAGAATAATATATTATACTGTCATTTATTTATTTGTTTATTAGAGACGGGGTCTTGCTCTGCTCGCAGGCTGGAGTGCAGTGGCACAATCATAGCTCATTACAGCCTTGAACTCTTAAGCTCAAGTGATCTTCCGTTTTAGCCTCATGCAAGCTAATGTTTAAAACAATTTTTGTAAAGACAGGATCCTGCTATATTGCCTAGATTGGTCTCAAAATCTTGACCTCAAGCAATCTCTCTGCCTTAGCCTCCCAAAGTGTTGGGATTGCAGGTATGAGCCACCACTCCTGTCTATAAAATAATTTAAACGATGATTATGAAGACTATGGTAACCTGGGAACGCTTTTGATGATGTTAAGTATAGACAGCAAGTTGGGAGGAGTGGCTCATGCCTGTAATCCCAGCACTTTGGGAGGCCGAGGTGGGCAGATCACCTGAGGTCAGAAGTTCAAGACCAGCCTGGCCAACACGGCAAAACCCCATCTCTACTAAAAATACAAAAATTAGCTGGGCGTGGTGGTGCATGCCTGTAATCCCAGCTACTCAGGAGGCTGGGGCATGAGAATCGCTTGAGCCTGGGAAGCAGAGGATGCAGTGAGGCAGTGAGCCGAGATGGTATCACTGCACTTCAGCCTGGGCGACAGAGTGAGACTCTGTCTCAAAAAAGGAAAGAAGAAAAGAGATTATATACATCCACCCAATATGTATTTATATACCATATGTTACAACCGTTTAAATATGTGCATACAAGTATAATGTAGAATGAAAGAAGCCAGATACAAAGGAGTGCATATGGTCTATCTATGAGCCATTTATATAAAGCTCAAAAGCAAGCAGAACTAATCTACGGTGGTAGAAGTCAGGATAGCGGGTCTCTTGGGCGGGTGGAGGATGGTGATTAGAAGGGGCACCAGGACTTCTGGGATACTGGTGGTGGCTCTGTTTTTTGAGATGGGGGTTAGTTGCACACGTATGTTCACTTTGTGGCAATTTACCCAACTGTGCACTTATGATTTGGCCACATTTTGAATGTAAGTAATGCCCTTATAAAAAGTTTGCTTAGTAAGCAAACAACCATGTGCGAATATTCATAGGAAGAAATGCTGGAAGGGAAAAAACAGAGGGCAGGAAATCCGTCGTGGGCAACTTAGCTTTTTTTTCTTCTTGGGGAGACTTTAGTTCCGGGTTTTTCAACCTCAGCTAGCTAATTCTTTGCTGAGGAGGCTGTCCTGTGCATTGCAGGACGTTTAACCTTATTTCTCGCCTCTGTCTGCCAGATGCCAGTTGCAATCCCTGCAGGCTCCCTCCACCCACACCAGACTGTGACAACCAAGGTATCTCCAGACAATGCCAAATGGTCCGTGGTGGTGGGGCTGCCGGATAAAAATCAGAATTTCCAACAAACAATGGATAACATTTTAGTATAAGTACATCTCAAATACTGCATGATACAAACTAAATAAAGTATTCATTGTTTATCTTAAATTCAAATTTAACTGGGCATTCCATATTTTAATTTGTTAAATCTGGTAACTTTACCTGGGAAAGCAAAATCGCGTAGCTGAGAACGCTGCTTTCCTTCCTTTCCTTTCCCCTCTCCCTCCCTCCCTTCATTCCTCTCCCTCCCTCCCTCCCTCTCTCTCTTTCTTTCTCTGTCTCCGTCTCTCTCTCTTTCTCTCTTTCTTTCTTTCCTTCTCACCCAGGCTGGAGTGCAGTGGTGCAATCTTGGCTTACTGCAACCTCCACTTCCCAGGTTCAAGCGATTCTCCTGCCTCAGCCTCCCAAGTAGCTGGGATTACAGGTGTGCCTGGTTACTTTTTGCGTTTTTAGTAGAGATGGGGTTTTACCATGTTGACCCGTCTCAAACTGTCAACCTCAGGTAATCCACCCACTTTGGCCTCCCAAAGTGCTGGGATTACAGGGCATGAACCACTGAGCCCAGCCAAGAACCACTTCAGTTCGATAAAACAGAATGATTCTGGTCTTTCTGATAGTGATTCTCTCTACCCTGCGTTTCCCTCAGAACTGTTTGGAGACACACCTCCCTAGGCCTCTGTAGGTGGCCTCTGTAGGTCTGCCCACCCAGCAAGGAGCAGAATACCCATAGGACCCCATCCTGGGAGCGACCCCTTCTGAGTCTTCACGGAAGAGATATATCCTGCCATTCATCCAGCCAGCTGCCAGAACCACAGCCTGAAGCTGTTCGTCACTGTGGAATACCCGCCCTGTGTGTGGGGAAGTCTGTCCCATGCCCAGCGGTATCTGTGTAGCCGGCTGAAATGGCTGACAGGCACCCAAACTTCTCCTTATACAATCAATTGATTTTCTGAAGAGTCATCCTGAATGTTTCCTTCTAGGGACCACTTGTTCATGGCAAATGTCTCCCCAGAACTCCCCTACATTCATTTACTTCTTCATCAACTGATGGGATGTTTTTTTGCCTTGCAGAAATGATATACAAATAGCTACTTGGGATTTTTATTTGTTTGTTTGCTTGTTTGGAGACAAGGTCTCGCTGTTACCCAGGCTGGAATGCAGTGGTGCAATCTCGGCTCACTGCAGCCTCGACTTCCCAGGCTCAAGAGATCCTCCTTCCTCAGCACCCTTCATGTTGCCCAGGCTAGTCCTGAACTCCCAAGCTCAAGGTGTCTGCCTGCCTTGGCCTCCTAAATTGTTGGGATCACAGGCATGAGCCATTAGCTATATTTTGAGGTGACCCATTTACAGCCATTTTACAAGAGATCCAAATTTCAGTGCCCTCTAGACCCCAAGACTTTTTTTTTTTTTAAACACAAATAATAGTAATTGTAGTACTAGTAATATTTGTTTGTTTGTTTTGGATTCTCACTCTGTTGCCCAGGCTGGAGTGCAGTGGCACTATCTTGGCTCACTGCAACCTCTGCTTTCTAGGTTCAAGAGATTCTCCTGCCTCCGCCTCCAGAGTAGCTGGGGCTACAGGTGCACATCACCATGCCCATAATTTTTGTGTGAGGTCTTTTAGGCTGACTGATGGTGCCGTGGATGCCATATTAACCTCTGTGACCTGCATGGACACTCCAGATGAATTCCTGGAAAATCTGAAGTAACTGGAAGACCATGAAAAGAGGAAGAAATGATTAACCCCTGTGGCACCTAATTAACTTTGAGACATTCTCTATCGTTCCTTATTCCTGCCCCAATTGACAAGTCAATTGGACTTTGTAACCGATCTTGGTCAGTCTCGTGACTCCAGACCCTACGAACCCCTCCCAGGTTGCAAACCTACGACCCCCTCCCCGCTTGTAAAAAACCGCCCAAACCTATAAAACCAACTCCTATCCCACCACCCTTCGCTGACTCTTTTTTTGGACTCAGCCCTCCCGCACCCAGGTGAATAAACAGCCATGTTGCTCACACAAAGCCTGTTTGAGGGTTCTTTTCAGCACTCGAGTTTTAACACATTGTATTTTTAGTAGAGATGAGGTTTCACCATGTTGGTCAAGCTGGTTTCAAACTCCTGACCTCAAGTGATCCACCTGCCTCAGCCTCCCGAAGTCCTGAGATTACAGATGTGAGCTACCACACCCAGCCATCAGGAATTAACAATCATCATCATCATCATTAGGTACTTAGTATGTATCAGAAGCTGTGCTAAACTGTCTATCTGGATTATCCCCTTCAGTCATCACAACTGCCTTATGTGATACCTTCATTAATATCCCCATTGTATAGATGAGGAAGTGGAGGCACAGAGCAGTAAAGTCATGTGCTCAGGGCAATACAAGAGGCAGGTGGCAGAACTGGGCCTGAGACCCAGGCATCCCACCTCTGGAGCCCACACTCTTAACCTCTGCACCATGACCACAGCCATCCCTCCCCAAGCCTCCAAGCCAAGTCGACCTTACTCTTATACAGGAAGTCTTCTCCCCTCGTGGTCATGTTCAATGAGAAGAAGGTGGTATCCCCCAGAGGAGTGGCTGTGGTCATCTCGATCCTGATGAGAAAGAAGAGATTTTGTTTAAAGTTAGATCAATCCATATTATTGCTACTTAATGTCTCTTTTGGTCTTTATCTAGATGACTGTAGACTATTCAAGCATGCAGTTTCTCTTGGCAGCAAGTAAACACAAAACTCATGATTAGATACCGTGGGGGATTTAATAATAATACCTGACATTTGTAAGTAACTTTGATTTTCAAAGTGGTTTAAATTTATTCAATAATATGTATTCAACTCCTTCAAATATTTAGATCAATCTCTTGAAACTATGTGAGGTGGGTGACTGTTGCCATTTTATTGGTGAAACCAAAGCCCCCAAAGCTATCTGGAGTCCCAAGTTTACCCAACAGAATTTTTTTTTTTTTTTTTTTTTTTTTGAGACAGAGTTTCGCTCTTTCTTGCCCAGCCTGAGTGCAGTGGTGCAGTCTCTGCTCACTGCAGCCTCTGCCTCCAGGGTTCAGGCAGTTCTTCTGCCTCAGCCTCATGAGTAGCTGGGATTACACATGCCAGCCACCATGCCCAGCTAATTTTTGTATTTTTAGTACAGACAGGGTTTCACCATGTTGGTTAGGCTGGTCTCGAACTCCTGACCTCGTGATCCACCTAAAGTGCTGGGATTATAGGCGTGAGCCACCACACCCTGACAAATTTTTGTATTTTTAGTAGAGATGAGGTTTCACCAAATTGGCCAGGCTGGTGTTGAACTCCAGACCTCCTGATCCATCCATCTTGGCCTCCCAAAATGCTGGGATTACAGGCATGAGCCACCATGCCCTGGCTACCCAACAGAATTTAACCCAAGATGTCAACTTCCCACTCTAGTGAGCTTCCCTCTGTGCTGTAATGACACTTGAACTGGTGTTCCTACTTTCAAAGGCTTTATTATCTGAGGATGCAAAAATAAATAAATGAACAGATGAAAATTAACTATGTTTAAAAATCTTTTTTTTGAGACAAGGTCTTGTTCTGTCACCCAGGCTAGAGTGCTAGGTGCAACCACGGCTCTCTGCAGCCTCGCCCACCCTGGGCTCAGGTGATCTTCCCACCTCAGCTTCCTGAGTAGCTGGGACTACAGGCGTGTGCCACCACACCTTGGCTAATTTTGAACTATGATCATCAAGCAGTCAGTGACACGAGCCATTGGGCTGTGAGGAACAATTTCATGGAAGAGATATAGTTGAATAGGCCTTGAAGAATGCGCATGGTTGGGGTGGAAGGGGTAAGAGAGCAAGGGCTGGTTCGAACAAAGCCCTCAGTCGGAAGAGTTAATGCAGTTTGGGAATCTACCATGTACCAGGCTCTGTCTCAGAAGCCTTCACACAACATATCTTCTCATTTAATCCTCTCACTCACCGAGAAGTGGCTGTCATCTACGCCCTCCTATTGAGAAGCTGGGACTCAGAGTGTTTGAGTGATTCAACCAGTCGTACAAGCAGGAGGAGGTGGAGTTTGGACTCAAACACTCTCTAGTGTAAAATGTATTTTTTTTTCCCTGAGGCCATTAAGAATCAAAATGCACAAGGCTATGATGTTCCATATGAGGAGTGAACCGGAAGTTACAGTGAATATGATGTCACCCCTGGAAAGAAGTGTTGAGATCCTCCACCAAGAACCACTGCACGATGATATAAATAATTGTTCTGGGCCAGCATGGTGGTTTACACCTGTAATCTCGGCACTTTTGGGAGGCTGAGGTGGGCACATTGCCTAAGGTCAGGAGTTTGAGACCAGCCTGGTCAACATGGTGAAACCCTATCTCTACTAAAAATACAAAAATTAGCCAGGCGAGGTGGTGGGTGCCTGTAATCCCAGCTACAAGGGAGGCTGAGGCAGGAGGATTGCTTGAATCTGGGAGGTGGAGGTTGCAGTGAGCAGAGATTGCACCACTGCACTCCAGCCTGGGCAACAGAGTGACTCTGTCTCTAAACAAATAAATAAATAATCACTCTGAACTATAGGGATCAAGAAAAGAGGGAAGCAAACCACTTTTGGCCTCATTATTTCAGAGTGGGACTTTTACTCCAGCCGCTGACAATTTGGAAGCCCACAAAGAGTCTACGTCAAGAGAGTTACCTAGGCCTGTTCGTAATCTTAAAAGCCATAGGCTTCAATATACCATCTACCTGAGAAAGAGGTATTTCGGACATTCAAAAAAAAAAATGGTGTATAAATTTATTTTCCTTTTAAAAGTAAGAAATGTGTTTTACGTTATGAAGATGAATATTATAGGAGCCCACATACTTACCACTCAGAATTTTTTTTTTTAATGGAGTCTTGCTGTGTCGCCCAGGCTGGAGTGCAGTGGCACGATCTCTGCTCACTGCAACCTCCACCTTCTGGGTTCAAACAATTCTTCTGCCTCAGCCTCTTAAGGAGCTGGGATTACAGGAGCACACCACCACGCCTGACTAATTGTTTTTGTATTTTTAGTAGAGATGGGGTTTCACTATGTTTGCCAGGCTGGTCTTGAACTCCTGACCTCGTGATCTGCCCACCTCAGCCTCCCAAAGTTCTGTGATTACAGGTGTGAGCCACTGCGCCCAGCCTGACCACTCAGATTTAACAAATGTTTACAGTCATGTTTTCTTCAGCCCACCTTTCTTTCTTCCTTCCTTACTTCCTTTCTTTTCTTCTCTTTCTCTCTCTTTTTCTTTCTATTTTTCTCTTTCTTTCTTTCTTTTCTTTCTCCTTTCTTTTCATTCTCTCTCTCTCTTTCTTTCTGAGAGTTCACTCTGTTGCCTAGGCTGGAGTGCAGTGATGTGATCATAGCTCACTACAGCCTCAACCTCCCAGGCTCAAGTAATCCTTCCACATCAGCCTCCAGAGTAGCTGGGACTACTGGCATTCACTACCATGCCTGGGTAATTTTAAAAACTTTTTTTTTTTTTTTTTTTTTTAATACAGATTCTCACTCTGTCGCCCAGGCTGGAATAGAGTGATACCACCTCTGCTCACTGAAACCTCCACCTCACACGTTCAAGTGATTCTCCTGCCTCAGCCTCTCAAGTAGCTGGGATTACAGGCGCCCGCCACCATGCCTGGCGCCTAATTTTTGTATTTTTAGTAGAGACGGGGTTTTACTATGTTGGTCAGGCTGGTCTCGATGTCCCGACCTCAGGCGATCTGCCTGTCTCAGCTTCCCAAAGTGCAGGGATTACAGGCGTGAGCCACTGCACCCAGCCTAAAAAAACTTTTTTTGTAGAGGCTAGGTGTCACTACGTTGCCCAGGCTGATCTCAAACTCCTAGAGGCAAATCGATCTTCCTGCCTCGGTCTCCCAAAGTGCTGGGATTATAAGCACGATCCACCAAGCTCAGCCAAGTTGTTTTTTTTTCTTCTTCTTCTTTTTTCTTTTTGAAGAGTCTCACTTTGTAACCGAAGCTGGAGTGCAGTGGTGCCATCTTGGCTCACTGCAACCTCTGCCTGCTGGGTTCAAGTGATCCTCCCGAGTAACTGGGATTACAAGTGCCCATCACCACATCCAGCTATTTTATATTTTAATAGAGACAGGGGTTTACCGTGTTGACCAGGCTGGTCTCAAACTCCCGACCTCAAGTGATCCACCCGCCTCGGCCTCCCAAAGTGCTGGGATTACAGGTGTGGGCCACTGTGCTGGTCTCAGTTCTTCTTTATAAGAAAAAAAGTCAGACATAGCTGAAATCCCTTTTGTAGTCTATCTCAATCCCATTTCCTCCCTTCCCCAAAGTAACCACTCCCTTGACCATTCGTGTGTATTCTCATCAAAGTTTTAAAATGTTTACTATATAACATACATATCCATAAACATTGTATATATTGTGGCTGTACATATCTATTAAACATGTCTATTAAATATCAACCTGGCACCTACTAAGTGACTGATGTTGTGCTCAGTGCTGGGAACACACAGGGCATACAAGACTAACTCCTTGCCTTGGGAAGCCCACATTCTAGTGAGCACAACAGACTATAGATTTGATCACAGGATTCTGGGGCTCAAAAAACAATCATTTCCCTTGTCGACTCTTCAATATCTGGTAGTGAAAGTCCTTCACCAGCTGGTTCCACCCTCTGTTTCCAGCCTCTCAGCTACTCACACCACCCTCTGCCAAACTGCTGTGACAACAGGGCACCCCATCTTCCCCCATCATACTTGGTCTGCCTCTGGGCTGGCTGCCCCAGGCACTGGCCTCCCCAGTCACCACCCAGGGTCTCTCCAGAGAGTCCCTATCTATGAGCTGCAGCTTCCCTGCCCTCCCAGCTCTAATGGAAGCAGACTTGAAACATGCAAAGTAGGGTCAAGGTATCTGCAGCCTGACTTGGCTCTGGTGGCAGTGACCTGCCCTGGAGGCTCCTGGGGGTCAGAATGGCCTCTGTGGCCTGGCCCTGTTCATCTGTAGGGTGGGCTCTGCCTCTGCCTCTTCTCAGCTCCCTTAATCCGGGGCCCTGTCTAACCCTCCCTAGCTCTTATCTACCCCTCCTTCCAAAGATCAGACCCTCCAGACTCCCAGACTCAGGCTCCCACCGGGAACCCTGTGTGGCTCCACCTGAGCTCCCCACTCCTGCCACTCTGTCTCCCTGCCTGGGCTTTCTGTCTCCCAACACCTGAAACAGGCTCAGGCTGGCTATGCAGTATCGCTCCCCAAGAAAAAGAGCACAGTCTTCAAGACACAGCCCAGGCCAGGCACGGTGACTCATGCCTGTAATCCTAGAAGTTTGGGAAGCCAAGGTGGGTAGATTACCTGAGGTCATCTATATCAAGCTAAGTTCGAGACCAATATCAAGCTAATATCACCAATATCAAGCTAAGACCACCCTGGCCATCATGGTGAAACCACCTCTCTACTAAAAATAAAAAACTAGCTGCTCGTGGTGGTGTACACCTGTAGTCCCCGCTACTTGGGAGGCTGAGGCAGGACAAACACTTGAGCCCAGGAGGTGGAGGTTGTGGTGAGTCAAGATCACGCCACTGCACTTCAGCCTGGAAGACAGAGCGAGACTCCGTCTCAGCAAAAAGACACAGCCTAGTCCCCAGTCGCCCCCCAGGAAGACTCCCACTCAGACAGAAATAGCAATGCTGTCCCCTACCCTCCCACAGCAGTGCCCTGCAAAGGAACACTGCCAAGGCACGTGTCCATTGCTTCGTCTGCCATTAATGCCGCATGCTCATTGCCAGGTCCTTGAAGAGAGAGACTATTTCTCATTCCTTCTCATGTCCTTCTACCTCCCTCAGATAAAGTGTCTGGGTCTTTTCTCCTTTGCCAGTGCAAGGGCTGGAATGAGTAACTGGATTTTTCCCAGCTTCATCTGCTCGTCTGTAAGGTGAGCTGCCTTTCCCTTTCTCTGAGGGAGCTGAGAGTGAGAGGTGAGGTATGGAAAGTGTTTTTTATGCCCTCACCCCTCCCTCCCTGGAAAGTGTTTTAAAGTGCTCACTAAATTGTAGCTCTAATTATTATAGTGAGTATTAGTAAATATTTGCTGAACTCAATCAGAGACAGGGGAATCTGGAGCTGAAAACTTGGAGACATTCTTTCTATAAAAACAAGCACAAATTAGCTGGCCTGGTGGCAGTCTGTGCCTGGTGGCGGTCTGTGCCTGGTGGCGGTCTCCCTCTATTTGAGAGGCAAAAGAGGAAGGATCACATGAATCCAGGAGTTTGAGGCTGCAATGAGCCATGATGGCACCATTGCACTCCAGCTGGGTGACAGAGCAAGGCCCTATATCTAAAACTAAATAAATAAAATAACATTTTTAAAAGACAGACGAATATGAGAATTTGGAATGAAAGCCTTCCCACCCAGCACTGCCCACCTCTACTCTCAAGGGGATATGCCTGCCCCATCTCAGCATGTGAAGGGTATTAGTATGCATTTCCCTAAACCTTCTCCTTCTAGCCCCACCAATATTAAGCTAAGAAGACTCACCAAAAGAAAGTGAGGCTTTCTATTTATTGATTTATTTATTTAGAGACAAAGTTTTGCTCTTGTTGCCCAGGCTGGAGTGCAGTGGCATGATCTCGGCTCACTGCAAACTCTGCCTCCTGGGTTCAAGTGATTCTTCTGCCTCAGCCTCCAGCCTCCCGAGTAGCTGGGATTACAGGCATGCACCATCACACCCGGCTAATTTTGTATTTTTATTAGGGATGGAGTTTCTCCATGTTGGTCAGGCTGGTCTCGAACTCCTGACTTCAGATGATCTCCCCGCCTTGCTTCCCAAAGTGCTGGGATTACAGGGGTGAGCCACCGAGCCTGGCCAAAAGTGAGACTTTCTTACAATTTCTTTTAAAAACAGAAAGGAGGTACAAATCGATGGCTGCTGGTCAAGGTTTGCCTAGTGAGAGAGACATGGAACAATCACTGGCAAACCCAAACCCATGGACATATTTGCCGTGAAACCAACATGCACAAAATGACAGAAGCCACCATCTGAGTGTTTGGCATGTGCCAAGACCTTGCACCAGATATTTTCTGTCCATGCCCTGATTTAACCAGCAACATGCCAGGTAAGGTAAGTTTTCCTTTCTCCTTCTCGCAAATGAAGACCCCAAGACTTGATAATATACAGCTAACTTCGGCTGGGCGCAGTGGCCCACACCTGTAATCCCAACACTTTGGGAGGCTGAGGCAGGTGGATTATTTGAGGTCAGGAGTTTGACGCCAGCCTGGCCAACATGAAAAATTAGCCGGGTGTGATGGCAGGCACCTGTAATCCCAGCTACTCTCTAGGGAGGCTGAGGCAGAATTGCTTGAACCCAGGAGGCAGAGGTTGCAGTCAGCCGAGACTGCACCACTGAGCTCCATTCTGGGTGACAGAACAAGACTCTGCCCCAAAATAAGAATAAAAATGAAAACCATTGAGCTGAGGTTGTGCAATTGCACACCAGCCTGGGCGATGAAGCGAGACTCTGTTTAAAAATAAAATAACATAAAGCGAACTCTCCGTGCTCACGGAGCTCCGAAGCTACAGAACTGATGTGTGAACCTGGGTGTTGCGAGCGGCAGTGCCTGCCCTCTTCCTACCGTGCCACCCTGTCTCTGACACACACTAGTGGGGTCTATGACCGATGGCTGCAGGAATACATGCATGCACACACATACACACACTGACCAGTAATGCAGCCACCTAAGGCCACCAGGGCGCAGGCTCCACCACAGGTCCTGCAGGGGTGACCTCCTGGGTGCCGAGTTCCAGGTGCAGACTGTCTTTTGGATGGGCTGAGTTGCTCTTCTCTCTCAGAGAACAGTGAGGAATCTCAGAGCGTATCTTGCCTCGTCAGGGAGCGAGGGCTCTCAATTGCATCTCTGTTTGAGAAGGTGGGAGGGAGGGTGGTAGAACAGCCACGGCCAAGGATGTGGGTGTTTTCATGTGTGGGGCCCCAGCAACTGCTGTTAACCAAGTGAGGGCCAGCAGGGCCCTTCGGTATCAAACGTGCCTATGAGTAGGGGCCATGGTCCCAGAAAACAGGGAGAGGACAGGGAAAGGGAGACCAGTTTTCACAGGCAGAGGTTAATTGAATAAAAATAATAATCATGCACTATGTGCAGGCACTGCACTTTGTGCTTTACGTTTGAGATCTCATTTAATCCTCATCCCAATCCAGTAAGGAGGGCAAGGCACTCTGTCCTCTACAGATGAGGAAACTGAGGCTCAGAGCAAAGAAGAAACTGCCTTAACTTCACAAGGCTAACATGAAAACCATGCCAGGATTCAAGCCAGGGTCTGTCCGATTTCACAGCCTCTTCTTCAAAAACCCTCCTAGCAAATGCACAAGGCATAGGTAGCCCAGCTTCCAGGGCCCAAATCAATGTGGGGCTTTGAGGAAAAATCCCATACAGGCTAGGATGCAGCAGACAGAGCGAGGGCCCTTGCCCCAGGCCCCTGACCCTGACCCTGACCCTGACCTCTACCCAACTTCTCCTGCCCTTGGCCACACTCTGAGCCTTCGTCTTTGGCAGAGCCTCAATCACGTTTATGGAACCTACAAGGGACTATTGTTTTCTTGGGTTGTTTACAAATGGCCCGAGTGGGAGGTCAGTTTGGGAAGTGATGGAGGGTCATAACCACTCACAGATCCATTGCTGTCTGCCTAGCTCTTGATCAAGTGTAAGAGTTGAATCTGGAAGATGAATGTTGGTCCTCCCCTGCCCAAAATATCTCCCCTGAAGCTCTGCCCTAGGGGTACCCCTTCTCTCTTTGGCCTGGCTTACAAGTTCCTCCCTGGATAAGACAATAAAGATAGTGCCAAGCCTGGCAGACCTCTCCTCAAATGACCACGTGTCCCCTCAGAGCAGGTAACCCATGAAAGCCCTTGATCCCCCACAACTTTGGGATTGATGTCTCCCAATCCCCAGAGAGATGGGAGATTCAGCAGGACTTGATCTCCTCCACAGACAAGCGGCTCACTACTCCCAAGCAGCTCCTGGAGATATTGGCATGTTTTAATTGACAGCAAATTGACCTTCAGGCCAAGTGTGGTGACATGAACCTGAAATCATAGCTACTCAGGAGGCTGAGGTGGGAGATTCACTTGAGCCCAGGAGTTTGAGGCTGCAGTGAACTGTGGCTGGGCCACTGCACTTCAGCTTGGGTGACAGAGCAAGACACCGTCTCAAAAAATTAAATTAAAATAAAAAGAAAATTGGGAATTTTCCTCTCAGAAGTCCTCTCTTTCTCACCAAAGACAGAGCTGTTTTCCTTTGCTTTTTTCTCTTTCTTTTGCGTATTAAACCTCTACTCCTAAACTTCTAAAAATAATAATAAAAATAAAAGATAAAAGAAAAAGAAAATTGACCTTCATATTGGCACCTTGTAATTTTTACTTACTGGTGCTAATTATCTTCCCACAAAGGTAAATCTGCTACCTTTTCTAAGTGAAAGCCTTTCAGGATTAAAAGCACTTTTGTAGTGGGGAATGGTGGTTCATGCCTATAATCCCAGCATTTTGGGAGGCTGAGGTTGGTGGATTGCTTGAGCCCAGGAATTCAAGACCAGCCTGGACATGGCGAAACCTCTTCTCTACAAAAATACAAAAATTAACCTGGCATGGTGGTGTGTACCTGTAGTCCCAGTTACTTGGGAGGCCGAGGCTGGAGGATTGCTTGAGCCCAGGATGTGGAGGCTGCAGTGAGCCAAGGTCGCACCACTGTGCTCCAGCCTGGGAGACAGGGTGAGACCCTGTATCAGAAAAAAAAAAAACAAAAAACAGAAAAGAAAAGAAAAAAGAAACAAGGCACCTTTAACCATTGTGTATGAAAGGGTCAAACTTCCAGGGCTGGAACAGAGCGGTTAGGGTAGCTGGTATCAGCACATCAATGTTACTTCCCACCAATAGGTGGCGACAGCGGGTGGCTGTAGGTTGGTAAACACCCTGCTGAAGCCAACCTGTTTTTAAGCAGTGGAGCTTTCTGCTCTTGAAAACAGCAACTGTATGTTTTCTGATGATTTTCTTCTCTGGGGTAAAGATTTTCAGCTCCTTCAAACAAGCCTTCGGCTGAGTGTCCCTCATGGGTTCCTCATTCCTCTGTGTCAAGGACTCCCTTAAGAATGACCCCAAAACTGGACACATGACTCGAGAGGGGGGCTGACATGTTCAGAATGACACTTTTCTTGATACTTATCAGACGTGACCTGAATTCTGCTATTTACTAGCTGTGTGACCTTGGCCAGCTTTCTTCACCTCTTGGTTTTCTGGTCTGTGAAATACGAATTACAATAGTCACAACTCCACAGGGTTGTTATGAGAATTAAATGAGATGAAACATGTCATGTATTCAGTGCAGCGCTGTATACAATATCTTATTGATATTACCCTAGATCGATGCAAACAAATAGCTCACTGGCCTTACAGGCTGCCATAGCGCACTGCTCATATGCACCTGCTAACAGACACCCCCCCCCTCCAGCCCTTTTTCAGACTTACCCTTACATTCATTTATGGTCAATCAAAGCCCTAAGACCAGCAAGTGAAGGGGCTTTTTTTTGAGATGAAGTCTTGCTCTGTTGCCCAGGCTGGAGTGCAGTGGCACAATCTTGGCTCACTGCAACCTCTGCCTCCCAGGTTCAAGGGATTCTCCTGCCTCAGCTTCCTGAGTAGCTGGGATTACAGGTGCTGGCGATCACGCCCAGCTAATTTTTTTATTTCTTAGTAGAGACAGGGTTTCTCCATGTTGGCCGGGCTGGTCTCAAATTCCTGACCTTGTGATCTGCCCACCTCAGCCTCCCGAAGTGCCAGGATTACAAAGCAAATGAAGGGGCTTTATGAACTGCAAAATGGAAAGAGAGGGGCAATGACAGCCGCATGATGAGTAGCGACAATATAATGACCGTCTGCTGTCCAGTTGCCAGGACCCCATTCTGCACTTGTGCAAATGACTTTTTGACAATCAGGACTTTGCACTGATCCCTGCTAGCTTTGACCTTGTTGATTTGGACCCTCAGGAGAAACATCAGCTCCTCCTGGATGGCTGCTGAGAACGCTTGATGGTGCTGTAACACAGCACATTGTCCAGGGGCTCACGACCCAGCAAGGGCTCTGGGGTTGGGTAGACTTGGATTTTAATCTTTGCTTTATCACTGACCAGCTTGAGAAGCTGAGCTGCTTTTTCCTTTGTAAAACAGGGCTAACATCTCCTATCTTGTGGGGTTGTGAGAATAAGTGAGATGCCATAATTGCCCAACTGAGGGCCTGGAGTGCTCATGCCAGTTCCCAAAGCCTCTTTTCCTCTCCCTGGCTCCAGTCTGTGTTCTCCCTGATCTCTTTGGAGCTTGAACACTCTGTTCTCTGTCTGGTCAAGTGTTGGTTGCACTGGTCAAACTCAGGTCTAAACAGGTCAGGGGGCCAGACTGTGAAACCTGGTGTCCCAAGGAGGGGATCTGAGCAGGGCTTCACCAGGACCTCTGAAAGACCTGATCTTCTCCATCTCCATCTAGAGCAGAGACAGAGGAAATAGTGAGACCTCCCCCAAAGAGAAAAAAAAGTCCTGATGCGACTGGTGGGGCACAGGGGCTGTGGCTGGGCAGAGGAAGAATAAGCTATAGGTTCATAACCTAAGACTTGGAAGACCAGGATTTCCCTTGCTACATGATCCTGCAAAGTCCGCTTCCTTCCCTGGACCTTGGTTTTCCTGCCTGTAAAATGGCCCAGTTTGGAGATGATCTCTCAAGGTTTTCCAACCAGCAGTGTTATTACATGGAACTGTTGATAGCTTCACTCAAAAACCAGTGTCTTCCAAAAGCTTATTCTTCTTTGCAGATACGGACTTAGGGAATGTGAGGAGAGGGAAGTCAGCCTTAGCAAGTCACTCTGGAAGGCAGCGATCCTTCCTAGAAGGCACTTGAGACTGGAACAAACTGAAGCGGATTCCATGAAAGGGCTTTGATTTGGCAACGGCGGTGCACGGGAAAGGAAACCTGGGGATGATCTTCCCAGCACTTTGCAGGGCACACAGTCACCCCGGCCGCCCGATTCCTGCACGGCCATTTCCTTCACCCTCCATTCCTATTGGGTCCCATGTCACAAGCTCCCCACCCTGTCTGCCCTGTCTATTCATGGCTCTGTGTGTCACAGCTCCTGAAGATGGGGTGGGGATTCTGCCGAGTGCTCCCCTGAACTGGAGGCCATACACAATTACATATTGAACATGTGTCCCTTGCAGCTGGTTCCCAGAAATAAGGAAGCACATGTTCTGCTCCATGTACCCAGCCATTCTTTCACCCTCCCATCCACTCATGCCCCTATCCACCTGAACACTCACTGGGCACACAATCCTCCCTCTACCCGTTCTGTGCATCCGTCCTCCCATCCATTCAACCAGCGCCCACCCTGTGCATAGGACTGAGAAGACTCAGAGAGGGCCATGGGTCTGTTTGAAACCAAAGAACAGTACAGAAATAAATAAAATAAAAACACAAAAACCAGAGGAGCCACGGGGATTATGTCCTGAGGAACTCAGACGAAAGGATGCGAAATGGAATTGTTTCCTTTCAGAATCTTTTCTTCGATCCCATGTACTGGGCATCAACCCACCACAGGCCTAGCCCAGCACTGCCCGCAGAAAGGTGCCCGATCGATGTCCTCCTGCAGTCCTATGGCAAAAGCCGCAGTCTGTGGCTCTGGAAGTCTGGGCTTCAGGCCCACCACACTTGTAGAGTCTGACTTCCCCACCCTGTCAAATGGGGGCTCAGCAGACCTTTGTTCCTCTGATTTTGGTGGCCCGCATTATAAGGAAAGGGGACTCCAGGAGCTTCTAACCCAAGACCTGCAGATATGATCAGCTCTAGGTGCTGAGAGCTATAAATAGAA